CCCCCCCCCCCAACCACGACCCCGCGTATCCCCCCGACAGGATAGCATCTTAGACATCCCACCGTCGTGGGTACGACAGCTGACCCTTGACCGAGACCTGCTGGCCCTGCGGTACCCGCCAAGGGGCCAGCGCACGATCATGTACCGAAGGACAAAGGCCGAGCTGTTCGCGGAAAACGTGCACCCGGAGGGCACCACCATGAGGCTCACGCTCTATAAGGTGATCGGTTGGTTGATTGCTTGGTGGACAGATGGCTTGGTTGGTGGCTGTTCGTCGCGACAAGTGGGGGATTGAAAGCGTGCAGCCCGGACGCGCGGTTCGTATCATGAAGCTGGCTGGGTGTCCTGTTCTGGGGCCGGAGCTATCCGCTTTACTATTTTCTGGGAGCTCCGATGAGCGACTTACCACGAAGTCTCCGCTCACGTTTCGCCTTTCGCGACCCTCATTTTGCCTACGCCAATCCTCACCACGTCTCCGTCCCGTCTAAGCTCAACGCAACGCCGTGTGTACACGCCTCGTTACCTTTACCCTGCTCCTCTCCTCGCTCGGGTGGAACTCAAACACCCAACGACGGCATGAAGGATCGACTGTGCACGATTGCGAAGGAAATTCGCGAGGTTTTCGTTAACCGAGCGGTGAGAGATTTTTGTAGCAGCACAAAGGGCCCTATAATCGCCAAAGCGAAGAGCACAGAGCTTTTCAGAGAAGATTCGAGGCCTCGTGTGCGCTACTGTCCGGCGCATGATGTTCGTTTGGCAAACGAATGCGGGTGTGGTCCTTCGCGTACTCAGGCTTTTGAATATTGCCTCATGTAGACGAAAGGCTTGGTCTCTATGAACTACACACTTCCCTCTTGTCAAACAAAAAAAACTCAAAAGTGTAAGTCTTACACAAACTCAAAGTAAGCCAAGTCTCCAGTCGGTTTCAATCCACTTACTGAGAATACTTCACCACATCCCTTTCGACTGGGGTTATATCTCGTGCGGGAGTCTTTCTGTGAGGTTATGTTTACTTTCTAACCGAAACTCTGTTTTCCTTAAGTACTGAGTGCGTCCAGTACTGCGTGCGTCCCTGTCTTTTCATCAGATGTTTCTTCTCTCCCAACCATCTGGGAACGCGTGTTACACATTCCCGCCTTTGCCCACGATAATCGATAGCACGCCCCCCCCTCATCTCCTCCGGATGGTGGCCACCGAGCAACCTGAAGGGATGGAGTAGCAAGAATCTGTCGGCAATGTACTTTTTCAGAATAGGATCCGTATTGAACGCTGTGAAAACGACCGCCGTCCTTCTCCGCCCCTGTCCCCCTTCCTCCTGGCTGCCTTCTCCCATGCGTATCGTGACGAAGGACCGTCTGTACTCGCGGGTGCGCTTTCCGCTCGAAGGGAAGGTGAGACAAGCAGCAACGTGTGGCCTCTGGACACGCACGCGCACACGTACACTATTGGTGGTGTCTGTGCGGTTCCGTTGCACAAGCGTTGACCGAGTTCCGACGGTCGCTTGTCGCTGCTCGGGGGTAGGGGGATGGAGGTACGGATTCGAATCCCATGAAGACCCGTGTGCAGTCCGGAGATCGAAGAGGTTGAGTAGAAAAAGGTGGATTGAGAAGTGGTTGGGTAGGGTGTGTGTGATGCGGCGAGAAGCTGCGATGGGGCAGGACACAGTGCGGTGGAGGGATGTGAAGAACGCGCCGGGCAGGGAAAAGCAGGCGGACCTGAGAAGCATCCAGCTTATTGTTTTCGCCATTCCTGTGTTCTGTAGCCCCCACGCTGATCGTTACCGTCGAGCGTCCGAAGAGCAGGGTTGAGGATCATGGCGGTCTTGGCGTAGTCGATGCTCCGGGTGCTTCTTTTTTTGCGAACGGCAGCGTGTCGAGGCGAAATTTCCCATCTTCCTATAACTGCGTACCAAACCACGCCGTTCGAGTGGTAGGATGACTATCCAGCAGTTTACCTTGCGATGGACAGGAGGGATGAACCGGAGGGATAATGACCCCCGCCTGCCACCATCATATCAGTGTTGAGGGGCAGGGAACGAACCTGGGTTGTGTCGGGCAGTACAGCCTCCTGCGGTTGGAAACCATTCGTGAGTCTTGTGCGCAGGTTTGTGTTCGACTTTCGATCTGTCGGTCTCACTCCATCTCTTCCTGTCTCCGTCTGTCTCTGTATCTCTGGCTCTGCCTCCATTTCTCTCTCTCTGTCTCTCTCTCTCTCTCTCTCTCTCTCTCTCTCTCTCTCT